CAAACCTGCTTGAGTATGAGCACTGGCCAACCTTCCCCTCCTGTTGGCTCCTGTAGAAGAAAGGCACTTCCACCTTCTGAAGCTTTGATCCACCTACTTTTTGGACTGCACTCGTGTTTGTAGCACAGGGATCTTACAGCTTCTTTCTGTTACAATAAATTCCCCCCCTAGCAGATCATCTTCTCATAAGGCCCTGTGCCAGTCTCTGCATTGCAGGGTGCTGCTCTTTTCCATCCTGTGCTCCTGTATGATTAGAAAATTAACAAAGCTAGAGCGTATACTGCATACTTGTAACATTAACTGAAATACTCAATTCTCATTGAAGCTCAAGAGTTTAAGCACAATGATGTAAATGCTGAATGCTCCCTCCCTGGAAGTGTTCAAGGCCAGGTTGGATGAGGCTTTGAGCAACCTGGTCCAGTGGAAGGTGTCCCTGCTCATGGCAAGGGGGCTGGAACTAGATGATCTTTAAGGTCCCTTCCAACTCATACCATTCTATGGTTCTATGAAATGCCAGTGCTGCCTGATGGTCTTCATTGCCACAGCCCAAAGAAGATCTGGATGTTGCTAACACTGTGGCACAGCCATAAATCCTGTACCTGGAAAACCATGACGAAAAGGAGGCTCCAGGTGGAGATGGAAAGATGAGCAGATAATTAGAATTTGATGAGGATTTATAAAAACTCATAATGTTATTTTATTTCAGAAATTCTAGATTCTTCAATCCATTTAAAAATATTAAACAAATTTTAAAATAGAAATGCTTTATGTTATCTTTCATATCAATACATCAGAATTTAATAACACAGACTTAATATAACAATTCAGAAGACTTAAATGAGGTATGTAAAATTCATGGCAGATCTGTTTTTTGACTGATGTCATTAGCTCTTAACCTATAACTAAATGACCTTCTCAGAAGGAAGGTTATTTAGCAGAGGAACGCTCTTTGAAGTTTGAAATGCCTTTTATTACTGGGTTCAACGTGACTTGCTTTTTAAACATATGGACATGATTTACAGATTTCATAGCCAGAATAATAATTCTAAAACTTCCTGTTAAAGCATGTCTTAATTTTTATATAGTGAAGAAAGGTCTTTAATGTGGTATTTGGATTATGGTCTCTACATATTCATATGTATAATAGGAATGAGAATACTGAAATAATAATAATTAATTCTAAATAAATGTGCATGAAGTTTCTAAAAACATCAGTTTTGAGAAGTAGCGAGTTTTCACTAGCATGTGCTTTTTGCAGGGAGGGGAGTGAGGGAAAAGACTGAATGAGAATAATAGCAAAATATGCACACTGCATTTAAAAGAGTCAGGAATCTTTATCTACTTGCAAAAAATATACTTGACTTCCAGAAGGACAGAAGTATGTGTGATCTTACAAAATGCCAGTGACAGTGAAGAAATTCAAGCAACTCTTGAAAGTTCTGCTATCATTTACTTCAAAAGACATCATATGTCATGTACTATGACACTGCTTGTAGCAAGCATTAGTCATAGGAAGGTTGACAGATCATATATAAGTGCTCTCATACTCATATGCATTGCAAACATATAAATCGATATGTATCCTTCGGGCATCAAGTCCACCTGACTCCTAAGGTCCATTCCTGTTTTCTGGCCAAAAAAAAAGTGAATCTGCTTTGGGTGGTTTTTTGTTTGCTTTTTTTTTTTTAATCACTGTAAGCCAGGAGTTATGCTATTTAAATTGTGAGTTATTTTGCTTTACAGTAGTGCAAAAAAAGGAAAGGGAATCCTTGAAAACCCACAACAAAATTTGTGGAAGCTCCTTCAGCTGTGAATTTCCTTTGTATTTTCTAAATAACTGATAAATGCGTTTCAACTTTAAAATATCAAATAAGTTGTCACCTTCTAATTTTGGATTCATGGAGTGAATTGGTCTCTCTGGAACTACAAGGTGGTTACCAGGACAAGTGAATATATGTTCTCATTTATTACAGTCTACATTAAAAAACAAACAAGTCAGGGGTTACAAATGATGTACTGCCATTCATTTTATTTCTGTCAGACTGCTATATCAGCAGTTACTCAAAAACTTCAATAAAAACTTTTCACTCAGGGGCAGGGGGGGAAAGTCTGTTTTAAATTAAGTTAAAAGGAAACCACTCCTTTAGCCAATAAAGCAAA